CCTGCTGTGTTCCACAGTATATCCTATTGGTGTCATGAACGTCACGAGATCTCATCTCTCATGCTGGTGTCATTAGTGTGCTTTTCTTTACCTGACCCTGAGGTCCTTCTCCCTATTTAGTGTCATCAGCCTCTTCCTCCTCGCTGACCACAGGGACTTCCTGGAGGTGAGTCTTAGCTTGTACTCATAGAAATGAAAGCCTGTTGTTTTGATGTTAAGGAGCTAGGTCATGGATCCCTCCTCTCCACCTGGTGGTTTACCTTCCCTCTTTCCTTTCTGCAATACAATTGTTTGAAATGCCCAAGTCTTTTTATTAAAAATTTTTTCTTTATTGATTTTTCTTTATTATTATTATTACTACTATTATTTTTAGAGAGAGAGAGAGAGACATCAATGTGAGCGAGACACATGGATAGGTTGCCTCCTGCATGACCAGACCAGGGCCGGGGACCAAACCACAGCCGAGGTACGTACCCTCAACTGGAATTGAACCCGAGACTCATTGGTCCATTGGCCGATGCTCTAACTGCTGAGCCAAACTGGCCAGGGTTATTGATTTTTTTTAGAGAGAAGAAAGAACAGAGAAAGAGAGAAACATCAATGAGAGAGAACATCAATTGGCCACCTTCTGCATGCCCCCCCATTTGGAGATTTGGGTCACAACCTGGGCATGTGCCCTGATCGGGAATCAAATCAGTGACCTCTTGGTGCATGGGTCAATGCTCAACCATTGAGCCACACCAGCCGGGTGAAATGCCCAAGTCTTAAATCATCTGTGTTGTTTTTTCCCCTCAATCAAAAGTACTTATGGGGAGGAGGGTCTTAATTCAGCTCAACAGTAAGGTCTACCTACAACATAAGGAATATAATCCTTCCTGCTCTTGACAAAGGCACTGAAATAAAGTCCGCTTCCATGTGCAGAGCTTAGTTCTCAAAGCACTTTGAAGAAGACTAGATTGTGGATGTAACTGACCTTGGGTGGTGTGAAGAAGCTCATGACAAGTAGTTGGAGAGCTGTGCTGGCACTGAGCAGCGTAGACAGAAAATGTGCCCTTAAATGTGGGGCCATGAAGGACAGTGAAGAAGTCACTCTGAATATAAGAGATCCTTCGGGTCAGATTTCAAACATACTGTAAATATACATGAATGGGCAAGTCTTAGCACTCACAGGTCTATGTTTTCCATTGCACAACACTCAATAGCTGAAGATTTCCCCCCATTATTAAGAAATAATCTCGGGTGTTCTCTAGTTGTCAGGTTTCATGGCAAAGTAGTAAAGGGGTATCTTTGCCCCTTTACTAGGCATCTGCCTAGTGCACTGTTTAATAACAATATTTATACAAGCTTTAATTTTTATGATGGACCTAGAGGATATTAGGCTAAGTGAAATAAGTCAGGCAGAGAAAGACAAATACCACATGATTTTACCTTTATGTGGAATCTAAAGAACAAAATAAAGAAACAAACAAAACAGAAACAGACTCATAGATACAGAGAACAGACTGATGGTTGCCAGATGGGAGGGTGGGTGGAAAAGGTGAAGGGATTAAGAAGTGCACATTGGTAGTCACAAGATAGTCATGGGGATGTAAAGTACAGCATAGTATAGCCCATAATGTTGTAATAACTATGTATGAAGCAAGGTGGGTACTAGATTTATTGGGGAAATCATGTTGTAAATTATATAAATGTTTAACCATCATGCTATACACCTGAAGCTAATAGAAAATAATATTGAGTGTTAATTGAGAAAAAAGACTTTTATGAAACATTACAAATCAATTAAAACACAAATTTACATGATAACGTCAAAGGTAAAACAATATACCTAGGAAGTGTGCAATATGAATTTTCATTTATAGCTCTGGGGAATAAGATATGTTCTCTTCTTTTAACCAGAGGTTTTCAAAGTGTGGCTCCTGGACCAACAGCATCAGGGTCACCTGGAAACTTGTTAGCAATACAAATATGGGATTCTACCCCAAATCTACTGAATCAGAAACTTCCGGGGTGAGGCCCACAATCTGTAAGAACATCCCCGCTAAGTGGTTCTGATACATCCTCTACTGGGAACCTCTTAAACCAATGGTTCTCAACCAGAGGGGATTTTGCCCCCAGGGGATATTACCAATAGCTGGAGGCATTTTCAGTTGCCATAACTGGAATGGAGAATGTTACTGGCATCCAGTGGTAGAGGGCAGGGATCCTGGTACATAGCCTATAAATGCAGGATGGCCCCATAACAAAGAATTGTCCACTCTAAAATGCCCATTGTGCTGAGGGTGAGAAACCATGCTATAAACTGAGCCTCCACTCTCTTGACTGGAGAAGAAACTAAACCTCGCTCACTGGTTTTTCTGTGCTGGGGGCTTCATCCTAGTCCCATAGCTTAATTCCAGTTGTAGATAAAACCAAAGGAAACAGGTTCTCAATCCATGTGACTACATTCAGTCCAGTGTTCTCTTTGTCACACAGTGCCAAGGTTTAGTGCTGTTTCTTTTCTTTTCTTGTTTTTCCTTTACTGATTTTTTTAGAGAGAGAGGAAGGGAGAAGGAGAGAGATAGAAACATCAATGAGAGAGAACATCGATTGGCTGCCTCCTGCATGCCTCCCACTGGGGATTGGGCCCACAACCTGGGCATGTGCCCTGACTGGGAATCGAACCGGCAGCCTCTTGGTGCATGGCCACACTGGCCCAGCTAGTGCTGTTTCTATTGAAATGTTGGGGCAGGAAACTCTCCCAGCTACCGTGATCCAACCAGGAAAAAAATCGCTCTACACCACCAACTGGACTCTCCCATGAGACGACTGTCTGAACTAGATAGAATCAAACAATGTGCCAAAGTCAAGTGAAATAGTAGGCTGTACTGCCCTCCCCCTCAACTTCTCTCTTCTCAGTAAATATCTACTTCCCTGGCTCTGGGACTTCCCATTCTCCATAAACCCAACCCAGGCTCTTCCCATCATGAACCACTTTACCTTAACCTGTACAAAAACAAAATCTCTTTATTGTTTGGGGTGGGTGGGTTTAGAAAGCTTTGCTTTTAGAAACAATCTTGAATTATTTTCCCTGGTGTGGGAGTGAGGAGGGGACAGGCTAATAAGTTAGTCTTTTTCTTAGTAACTCCCTGCTATATCACGTATATTATGTTTAACCTAGTATTTCATATACATTTGTATATAATTATTTATTGATAAAGCAGCAGAGGAGAGGATGATCTTTACAAAACTACAGAGCAGAGTCCACTTGCTGACCATTAAGAGAAAAGCCATAGAAAGAGAGAGGGATAAGTCATAATGCCCAGAAACTGTTACCCCTCCCCGGAAACCTTCAGCAAAGCTCTACTGGTCTAGGAGTCCCAAGCGAAGCCATTCGGGGCACCATATAGCTGATGAAATAGTGTCACAGAGATGCCTGGAAGTGTAGAAACAAACCGTGTGGGGTACCTGGGATGGCTTCAAACTGAGAAATCGAAGGGAAGCCCATCAATGACTTAAGTGCAGGGACCATGGTGATTGACCATTCACACTGCTTCCCTAGAGCCCACTTCTTCTTCTTCTTCTTTTCTTTTCATTAAATAATTTTTGTTACAGATGTTTCTCCTTTTTCCCCCACTGATTCTTCCCTCCCCCTCCCTCCCTGCCCTGTCCCCAGCTTTGTTGTCCATGTCCATTGTTCATGCATACATGCATATAAGTTCTGTGGTTTATCTCTCCCCCACCACCCCCTCTTCTGGGGATTGTCAGTCTGTACCCCACTTCCACGTCTCTGGGAGTATCCCATTCCTCAGACTGTTATGTTCATTATATTCCACAAATAAGTGAGATCATATGATACTTGTCTTTCTCTGTTTGGTTTGTTTCACTTAGGATGATACTTTCCAGGTCCCTTCATGTAGTCTCAAAGGACAAGAGATCTTTCTTTCTTATAGCTGCATAGTTCTCCATTGTGTATATGTACCACTGCTTTTTTATCCATTCGTCTACTGATGGACACTTGGGCTGTTTCCAGATCTTAGCGATTGTAAACAGTGCTGCCACAAACATGGGGGTACAGATATTCTTTCTGATTGGTGTTTCAGGCTTCTTAGGGTATATTCCTAGAAGTGGGATCACTGAGTCAAATTTTAATTTTTAATTAGTCAAAGTTCAATTTTTAATTTTTTGAGGTGACACCATATTGTTTTCCATAGTGGCTGCACCAGTCTGCATTCCCACCAGCAGTGTACTAGAGTCCCCTTTTCTCCACACCCTCGCCAACACTTGTTGTTTGATTATTTGTTGATGGCGACCATTCTGACAGGTGTGAGATGATACCTCATTGTTGTTTTAATTTGCATCTCTCTGATGATTAGTGATGTTGAGCATTTCTTCATATGTCTCTTAGCCATTTGTATGTCCTGTTTGGAGGGGTGTCTATTTAGTTCCTCTGCCCATTTTTTAATTGGGTTCTTTGTCTTCCTTTTGTGGAGTTGTATGAGCACTCAATATATATTGGAAATTAACCCCTTATCTGATATATCATTGGCAATTATGCTCTCCCATACATTGGGTAGCCTTTCTGTTTTGATGATTGTATCTTTCGCTGTGCAGAAGCTTTTGAGTTTGATGTAGTCCCATGTGTTCATTTTCTCCTTTGTTTCTATTGCCTTAGGTGATGTATCAGTGAAAATTCTGCTGTGTATGATGTCTGAAATTTTGTTGCCTACAGTTTCTTCTAGGATTTTTATGGATTCATGAGTCACATTTAAGTTTTTTATTCATTTTGAGTTTATTCTTGTGTAGGGTGTAAGTTGATGGTCTAGTTTCATTTTTCTGCATGTAGTTGTCCAATTTTCCCAGCACCATTTATTAAAGAGGCTGTCCTTACTTCACTGTATGTAGAGCCCACTTCTTTACTGGTAATTATAACCACATACAATTTCTTCTTTCTCTCTGTCCACCCACCCACTGCTGCAGATCCACGCCTGGCCCAGCGGCCACATGTGTGTAGGACGGCTTCACAGAGGCTCACAGTGCCACTGATTCCAGGTACAGGGCATGCGGATGTGATGCAGATTGTGACTCATTTTCTGCATGATTTTGTTGTTCTTATCTGTGTGAGAATACATGGGGAAGCCGAGTTTGCTCAGAGCCTGGGTCTGGCAATAGATGAGATAGGAGATGAGGCCCCGTTTCCGGTACTCAGGCACGGTGCCAGCCATCCGCAGCTCTCCTGTCTGGTCCATCAGGTCCCAGCACACAGGGGTCCCCTCGGGCCCCAGCAGACAGAAGGTGGGGAAGGTCTGGATACAGCGCTCGATGAATCTCTGGCTCCTCTCGTTGCCGCCGAAATGCCAGAATTTATTCACCAGGGCAGCGTGGGTGACATCCAGGGATGAGAGTTTGAGCATTTCTTGATTGCTATGGAGGTTCCAAGAGAAAAGTAAAGTCCATGAGTGTCTATTATATTTGTTCTCATCCCTATTGTCTAAATTACATTTTTAAAAAGGACGATCTTGGAAAAGTATTGACAAAAGGGAGGCAGGAAGAGAGAGGCTACTTCAGGAATGGGAGGTGTGCAGAGTGCAGTGTTTATCAGACTTACATGGCCTTGGGTTTGCCACCACCGGGAGGCAAGTTCTCCACATCCACTGGGGAAGGAAACAGTCTCTTCACGGTGTCAGGCATTACGTAGAGAAAGCACTGTGTCTGTTCGGCCTTGAAGGATTTCGTGGCTGTGAGATTTTGTATCACTTCATTCAGGCTGGACTGTGAACCTAGGTGGGATTTTAAGGGGAGAGGCAATGATTTTAGTACATTTAATGGAGACGCTGTCCAGGGGAGTCGGAAGAGTCTACCTTGACGGTCCGGAAACCTGGCTTGGTGCTGCCACTGAGTGACGGGAGTCATGTAGTCAGGATTTTTGTGGTGACTGCTCAGAGATTCACTCAGCCATGGTCTTACCATTTGTGGCTGGAACCAAGTTTTCTGGGCTACATGATCATGTTGTTTTGATAATCACAGGAAATGAGTTATAAAAATAATAGTAGCCGACATCTGTTGTGTATTTACTGTGTTCCCAGGGAGGGAGATTATTTCAAGAATGACCCACAATTTGCTTATGTCCCTTTGTATCCCCTGGAGTAGTCCTCTCCTGCGCTGCGTTTGACCTTAGCCATATGACTTGTCAATGGGAAAGAGGAAGTTTGGTGCAGGAAGAGGCGTAAGAATGTTTACACATTGAGGCTTGGCTTGCCTTTTCTTTGTGCCCCTGATTACCTTGAGACCAATACCATATGAGTGGGGTTAGGCTAGCCTGCTGAGGACGTGTGTTCCTATCATGCTGTGACCATGGCAGCCAGCACCGACAGCCAGAACCATCATTCAGACATGTGATTGAGGCCATGCTAGAGCCACCAGCCCACAGTCCCTCCATTAACACACTGCAACTGCATGAGTAAACCCAGAAGAAACCAGTAGAAAAAAATGCCTTGCAAAGCCCGGCCCAAATATTGATTCACAGAATTATGAGGCTTGCTATGCAGTCGAAGTTAATTCACACATCCAGGCATTGTGCTAAGCAATTCCTATTCAAATTTTTACTTAATCTCTTCAACACCCCAGTGTTTTAGGTACCATCATCATTTTCATTTTTGTATATAATTTCAGCAAGAGTAGTCATGTGTCTAAGATCACATAGCAAGTAACAGACAAAAGCCATCCTAGGAAGTCTGATTCCGGAGGGCATGCTCATAACCATGACAGTTGTCTTTCATGACGTGGGAGGTGCTTTATAGCACAAGTTGTCATTTTTATTCAAGGCATGGAAAGCAATAGGGAAAGCTCAGCTCTGGCACCTAATCAACCTAAGGGATTCTGAATCTGTCTGCAAAATATGCCGTAAATTCTTGGCTATCTAGGAATTATATTATGTTTCCCTAAATGAAGCTTTGGGGGTGTTTTCTCCCCCTCTACAGCTATATTCACAACTGAGTCAAAAGTTTGACAGCAGGCTGAGGGTCTGAAGTATAGAGAAAGGTGTGAGTCACAGGGGACATTGTCAGGACAGAGAAATGAGTCAGCACACTTCTCCTTCCTCTTACTTTGGATCTGCAAATGCTGTTTCCAATTGATGACTTCTGATGAACCAAGCAATTCCTGGCAGTTCTTGAGGTCCTTGGAGTAGAGTTGGTAAGTATTGGTGTAGTGATCAAAATCGTCTACCATCTCCTGTTGTTGTTGGAGAATGGGAAATAAAGCAAATTCTATGTAGTTCATGATTGCAATACTTTTTTACCCCCAATTCCATTACACCGTGATATTTTTAAGCCTTAAAATATTGGTGTTTTTATTGGTGCATTAAAAATATTTCTGAATCATTTAAATCACAAGATCAAAATGAGAGACTCAAGCATTCAATTTATGATGTAAAATTTGAGAATAATACCATTTTCTACCCATATATGGCATTAAATTTTCATATCAAACAAAGACACAGCTATTTAGAAAGCATTCTTCTGTATTTCCATCATCCTCCTTAGGAAGAAGGGACAAGCAGTTGACAAAGAAAAGCTTCTGCTACAAGAATTAATTTTAGAACTTCCAGCCAAGATGGTGGTGTAGGTAAACGTGGTCTCGCCTCCTCCCACAACCACATCAAAGTTACAACTAAAGTACAGAACAACCATCATTCAAAACCGCCTGAAATCGAGCTGAATGGAAGTTCTACAACTACGGAATTAAAGAAGAAGCCACATCGAGATTGGTAAGAGGGGCAGAGGTGTGACGGGCTGGCCCCACACCCAAGTGTGGCAGGTAAAAATCAGGAGGGACACCTCAGCTGGGAAGGTCCTCCCTGAGGACTGAGGGGTCCCTGTCCTGCACCAGGCACCCAGCTCAGGGTTCCAGTGCCAGGAGAGAAGTCCCCATAACTTCTGGATGTAAAGACCAGCAGGAACTGAGGCTGAGGGAGGGTGAAGCTTCTGAAGCCCCAGGCAGCTCCTCTTAAAGGGCCAGTACACAGACTAACTCAGACTCGCACCCTCCAGGCTCCACCATTTGGGAGGCAGCTTGAAAGGCACCAGAAACATATGAGGAAGAACTGAGATGTTTGGCATTGGAGCGAGGGCTGGAGAGGCAGCTTTCTCCTTTGGTGAGCCCTTCCCTGGGGCACAAAAGAGCTGCCATATCTGGGACTCCAGCAACATGGCTCACACTGTTTGTCCCGCCCTGGTGATTCCCTAAGGCCCCACCCCACCCAACTTTCAGGCCCACCCAAGCTGGTGACAATTGCTTTACCATAGCATTGGCCTGTCTTGGATCCTGCTTCAGGTTTTCCTAAATTCTTTCAAATAAATGGCATCTGATTTCAGCTAGCCTCATACCTCTCGTTAGGTGGGCCCAGGCCTGGCACTAGAAGCCACCAAGTTGGTTAACAACTTGGCTTTTCCTGGGCACCTCCAAGCCCAGCATAAGAAGCAGCCATCTGCAGATCACTTTGTAGCTTATGCCTGGTGGCCCCGGGTAGAACACAGGCAGTGGCTGACCTAGCCCCAGAGCCAGCACACCCAGTGGACAGCCTAAGAGCACTGTGAAGCACCACCACTCATCCACCTCCACAAGTGACACATTCAAGGAATGGACTCAGTGGGTACCAGAGTCTTGCTGAAGTAAGTCTTGCTCTGTGTGGTGGGCCCCTGCACAGCTGATCATCCAAGGTAGTCAGAGGTCAGTAGATAGTGTGCAAGCCAGTCCTTGCAGCTGATCAGCCTGAGTAAAACCCTCTCATTGATGTGCCAACAGCAATGAAGGCTCAATTACAACAGAAGGATGTAAAGTCCACATGAGGGGTGCACTTCGAGGGCCCAGCTGGGAGATCAGGGAGGCTGTGCCACTGGACCCTACTGGACACCTACTACAACAGGCCACCCTAGGAAGTGCAGGAGACATAGCATCTCTACCTAATACAAAGAAACAAACATAGGAAGGCAGCCAAAATGAAGAGACAAAGAAACAGGTCCCAAATGAAAGAACAGAACAAAACTCCAGGAAAAGAATGAAGAGAAATGGAGATAATCAACCTAACAGATGCTGAGTTTAAAACACTGCTTATAAGGATACTCAATGAATTTAGTGAGAACCTCAATGAACTTAGTGAGGGCCTCAAGAGCATAAAAAAGAAGCAGTCAGAAATAAAGGATGCACAGTCATAAATGAAGGAGGCACTAACTGAAATAAAGAATACTTTACATAGATTCAATAGTAGAGTAGGTAAAGCCAAGAAGCAATCTATTGATTTGGAATATAAGGAAGCAAAAAACACCCAATCAGAACAGCAAAAAGAAAACAGAATCCAAAAAAATGAGGAGAGTGTAAGGAGCCTCTGGGACAACTTCAAGCGTACTAACATTTGCATCTTGGGGGTGCCAGAAGGAGAAGAGAGAGAACAAGAAATTCGAAAACCGATTTGAAACAATAATGGCAGAAAACTTTCCTAACTTGGTGAAGGAAACAGACATACAAATCCAGGAAGCACAGAGAGTCCCAAACAAGATGAACCCCAAGAGGCCCACACCAAGACACATAATCATCAAAATACAAAGATTCAAGACAAAGAGAGAATCTTCAAAGCAGCAAGAGAAAAGCAGTTAGTTACCTACAAGGTACCTACCCATTAGACTGTCAGCTGATTTCTCAAAAGAAACTTTGCAGGCCAGAAGGGAGTGGCAAGAAATATTCAGAGTGATGAAAAACAAGAACCTACAACAAAGATTACTCTATCTTGCAAAGCTATCATTTAGAATCAATGGCCATATAAAGAGTTTCCCAGACAAGAAAAAGCTAAAGGAGTTCATCATCACCAAACCATTATTATATGAAATGTTGAAGGGTCTTCTTGAAGAAAAAGATAAAAAATATGAACAAACAAAATGGTAATAAATACATATCTATTGACAATTGAATCTACAAACAAAATGAACAAGCTGAACAGAAACATTCTCATAGATACAGAGAACATTTTGTTGGTTGCCAGATGAGAGGGGGTTGGGGAAATGGGTGAAAAAGATGAAGGGATTGAGAAGTACAAATTGGTTGCTAGACTGCTCTGGCCAGTTTGGTTCAGCAGTTAGAGCATCGGCCTGGGGTCCAGAGAGACCTGGGTTTGGTTCCCACTAAGGGCATGTACCTCGGTTGCAGTTTGTCCCCAGCCCTGGTTGGGTTGTATGGGTGGCAACCACTCGATGTGTCCCTTTCACATCGATGTTTCTCTCTCTCTCTCTCTCTCTCTCTCTCTCTCTCTCTCTCTCCCTCCCACTCTATCTGAACAAAAACTGGAAAAATGTCCTCGGGTGAGGATAAAAAAAAAAAAATTGGTTGCTAGACTGACAAACCTCAAAGGGAGGGGAATTTGGGGGATGGGAAGATATAAACCAAAGAACTTATATGCATATATGCATAACCAATGGGCACAGACAACAGTGTGGGGAAAGGCAGGAGGGGGTGGGAGCAGGGAGAAGGGGCATCAATAGAAGAAAAAGGAGGAACAGCTGTAATACATTCAGTAATAAAAATAAGTTAAAAAAATAAAACAAAAAAAATTAATTTTACTACAGTTCAAATAGTTGCAGAACACAAAAACTATGAACATGACAATATCAAATTTAGTTACAGATAACTCTGGATTAAAATCTTCATCGATATTTTAAGCCAAAGAAGATGAAAAATGGGTAGAAATGCTTTCTTAAAATAATACGTTGTAGTTCCAGAAGAACAAAAACCACTTATTTAGAAAGATCCTCTCCAATTATTAAATAACAGATTCGATTATTAGGAGGAAGGAGGCACAGGAAAATATTTCCATGACTGGTGCAGAATTAGAAAACCTTTTTTAAATAGTTAGAAAATGTTGTACGAAAGACACTCATAAGTCAACAATGATATCACTAACACACCTAAGATCACATTTAAGATAAAATATATAATTATTTTATAATTTTATTTCAGTTTAGTTTTATTATTAACATAAATATCTTCATTTTATATATTGTTTAATGAGTGGTTTTACAATCATTTTTATTTGTCGGAAAGGTATACTACTTGTATTTTTATCAATTTATAATTTCATAGGGTATATTCACGTGAACTTGGAATTTCTGTTTTTGTGTTTGAAATTGAGTTGCACTACATTTTAAATGTTTCCCCTAAATGTATGTGGAAGTTCTAGGATTATGAGTTTACTTTTTAGAATCACCCCAACTCAGTGTCCTGTTTCACACCTTCCTTAGATGCTGATTAAACTACGGAGGTTGAAGATGGAGGTCCCAGGAACAGGTTAGAGGCACATCTCAGTGGAAGTTTCAACCTCCATAGTTTAATCAGCTTCTGTCTGTGCTGTTTCTGTACGTTGGGCATCTTCTGTTCTTACACACTTCTCAATGAATTGTAATTTACTTGCTCATCTACCTTTTCCTCCAGGCTGTGAGCTCCTTGAGGACAAAGACTTGTTCCCCATCACTAAGATTCACTTCTGTGTCCCCTGGGTCTACACTGCCACATGCAAGGTAGGCACATATAGCAAATAAAAGGACATGCCTTCCACACCTGGCATCTTACCTGCTCCTGGGGGCGGACAACCACTGTGTTAAAATCAGGCCACTTGTCCACCAGGACCTTTAACTTGAATGGGTTTCCTTGGTTCATGTGGAAGACGGTCCCATACACCTGTAGCATCCCGAGAAAGTGAGAAGGTCAACTTATTAGGAAGGGATGGCCAAGTGCCCTGTTTGATCAGGATAAGAATTACTTCTATGAAATCAGGATAAGCAACTGGTAGGGCATCTACTTTAAACAGTCTTCATGTCCTACTTTACTATTCCAATGAAAATAGATTTTTGGGTTGAACCATGAAAATATTATATGAACATAGTCAAATATCAAGATATGTAAAACAAATAAATTAAAAAGCATTCACTATCACATTGTAGAATTTAGGAACATATCTTTCATTTTAAGCCACTTACTTACATAGTCACACACAATTTTTAAATAATAAAATTACCTAATGTATATTTGATTTGTTCAACATCTTTTCCCCTCCACACACACATACACACAATACAAAGTTTATATATATATATATATATATATTTTATTCTCACCTGAGGATATGTTTTATCTTCTTTTATTTTAGAGAGACAGGAAGGAAGAGAGAGAAACATCAATGTGAGAGAGAAACATCAATAGGTTGCCTCCCATATGTGTCCCAACTGGGGATCGAACCTGCAACCTGGGTATGTGTCTTGACAGGGAATTAAACTCACAACTCTTTGGTATACAAGATGTTCCAGCCAACTGAGCCACCCAGCCAGGGCATAATGGTCATCTTTTTGACAGTGTGGTGATTCTTCCTCAAGGGCAATTATTCTTCCCTTTATTCAAGAGGTTCTAGGTCTGTAATCTGGCTCAAGTCTGGGAATTAATTGAGAAGCAGTGATTCTCTGTATGATTGAAGTAAGACCTTTGAGTTTGTGTAAAAGTACTTGATGCAATTTCTGATACTTAGTAACTGTGCAAGAAGTGTTTGATATCAATTTTATCATATCATTTCATTTGGTAACCCTGGTATAGGCTGAGAAACACCTACCAGAAAGCACTGATTTTCTGGTTTTACTCATTTTACATGCAAAAACACTGAGCCTCATAGATGTTTAACTTTTGCCGTATTTCCCAGAAAACAATGAATTGTGGAATCAAAACAATCTGAGTCCACATCCTACCTTCTTCCTTATTTTAGTCAGAAAGATCAGTGATTTGGGTTTATACTAAATGCCTGTGGCTTAGTCTACAAAAGATGTCCATATAAAGTATCAGAACAGCAGGTAAAATCAGTGACCTTTGGTCATTTGTACTTTCACAGGCCGAAAAATTATGAGCCTAATGTTTATAATAGTATATCCTTATAATATCTATTGGGTTTTTTGTTTTTATTTTTAATTTTTTTTCTTTTATTGATTTTTAGAGACAGAGGAAGGGAGAGGGAGAGATAGAAACATTGATGAGAGAGAACATCGATTGGCCTCCTCCTGCATGCCCCCCCCCCCCACTGGGGATCCAACCCACAACCAGGTAATGTGCCCTGAGCAGGAATCCAACCGGTGACTTCTTGATGAATGGGTAGATGCTCAACCATTGAGCCACACTGGCTGGGCTTTGAAAACATTCTTAAAATAAGATGTATCTTTGTAGATGTTCAAAGTACATTTGAAAAAATATGTATTCTGCTGTTGTTGAGGAAAGTATTGTATGTTATCCATTAGTTCAAGTTGGCTCATAGTATTGCTCAGCTCTTCTATATTCTTACAGGTTGTGTCTATTCTTTAAAATAATTGAAAGAGGAGTGTTGAAGTCTTTAATTATATCTGTGGGTTTACCTATTCCTTCTTTCAGTTCCATCAGTTTTTATGTCATGTATTTTGAGCCTGTGTTGTCAGGTGTATACATTTTAGCTTCTTTTTTTTTTGAGAATTGGTATCTTGATCATAATGCAATGGCACATTTTATCCCTGGTAATATTCTAGTCCTTTTGCAACATATATTATTGCCAAAAAATAAAACAAAACCGAAAAACTAAAAAGCCCTCTGTGGTACAAGATCATTGATCCATTTCTAAAACTAAATTTCTGTCTCACCCCAAATGAAACATAATCCATTCAGGCTGACAAAACAGAAATTAACTTGTTATTAATTTTGAAAGAGAATCATAATGGTTAACCTTTCATTAGTCATTTGATTGTTTAGAAAGCATGATTTAAACATTAATGTTTTAGTTTCAGTCAACTTTGCAATTCTGAAAAACTTCCATTGTCGTCTGATATAATTCTGACAAGGGCACAAGGGACTGGTTTTGGGTCATCGTACAGCAATGATCACAGTGGGTTCAAATCATAGCATTGCCACTCACTACTGGTGTGATCATGGTCAACCAGACAACTGAGCCTCCAGTTCCTCTTTGGTTACCAGGATACAATACCCCTGCCTTGCAGTGAGATGATACTAACTAAATGAGATGCAAGATGAGTGAGTGCCTGGCACAGAACAGGTGTTCAGGAGAGAGAATGCTAATTCTCTCTCCCACCTTTTTCACAGGCACTTGCTAGTCCTTTTTTCCCTAAGAAGGTTACAATCTCACCTTTATGGACTCAGGGAGGAACTTCCTCAAAGAATTCTCCAGCATCTGCAGCATTTGTGGACCTTGTAATTGGAACATCTTGGCAGGTACCTGAGCCTAAAGAGGGCATCAAGAACTATTAAGAAATGAGAAGTTCTGGAAGGCATACAGTGACACAAAACAGACACAGTAGGGAGTTGAGGCTAATGGGGCCTTTGTCTCAGCCCCAGTCACGAAACTCCTCACTAACTCCAAGGAAGGATGAGTCTGGCAGAAAGCACAGGTGTCTCTTTCTGAAGTTACTTTTAATATTTTATAAACCTTAAAAAAATATTTCTCAAATTTGATTTTTACATCATCCAGAATTCTAATAATTAGCATTTTACTGAGATTAACAAATGTATTCTCTAAGTACGAATGAGCATCCTTTGAGAATAAGTTTCTATTTGTGACAAGCTGACTTTGACAATTAAAAGCTACGTGACATTGGAAAAGTTATTAACTTCTCTGTGCCTTGGTTTTCTCCTCTATAAATGACAATGGCTGTGGTACCTGTCCCTTAGAGTAGTTGAACAATTAAATAAATCAATGCATATAAAGTTCTTTTTTTTTGGTACATGCCCCTAGTGGAAACTGAACCCGGGACTCTCTGATCCACAGGCCAACGCTCCAACTGCTGAGCCAAACCGGCCAGGGCGCATATATAAAGTTCTTAGAACAGTGTCTGGGACACAGTAAGCACTCAATTAATGATTATAATTATTATTATCCTTTTTATTATTATCATTAGTAGAAGCAACATTTAACCACACTGTCATCCCAAAAGTCCATTGAGTGATTCTTCTTCTGCACAAGAATTTATGGTAAGGATTAAATGGGGGGAAATCCGGATTTCCGGTCAAGATGGTGGCGTAGGTAAACACAATATCGTGTCCTCCCACAACCACATCAAAATTACAACTAGACTACAGAACAACCATCATTCAAAACCGCCTGAAATGGAGGTGAATGGAAGTCCTACAGCTACGGAATTAAAGCAGCAGCCACATCCAGACTGGTAGGAGGGGTGGAGGCGCCAGGGGCGGAGGCAAATGGGCTGGTCCCACACCCACGTGTGGTGGATAAAAATCAGGAAGACACCTTGGCTGTGAAGGTCCTCCCTGAGGACTGAGGGGTCCCTGTCCCACACCAGGTGCCCCACTCAGGGTTCCAGTGCCAGGAAGAGAAGTCCCCGCAACTTCTGGCTAGAAAAACCAGCGGAAACTGAGGCTCAGGGACGCTGAGGTGGCTGGAGCCCCAGGCAGCTCCTCTTAAAGGGCCCGCGCACAGACTTGTCAGACTCACTCCCTCTAAGCCTGGAGGGAAGGCAGCTCGAGGGGCACCAGAGACATACAGGGAAGAACTGAGCTGTTTGGCATTGGAGCAAGGGATGGAGAGGGGGCTTTCTCTGGGACAGACATGCTGTCAGAAGCCATTGTTCTATTGGTTAGCCCTTCCCTGGGGTGGCAGACATCAGCCATATCTGGGACTCCAGCAACCTGGCTCACACTGTTTTCCCCGCCCTGGTGATTCCCTGAGGCCTTGCCCACCCAACTTTCAGGCCCACCCAAGCTGTTGCCAGTTGCTTTACCATAAGATTGGCCTGTTTTGGATCCTGCTTCAGGTTTTCCTAAAGTCTTTCAAACAAGCAGCATCTGGTCTCAGCTAGCCCCATACCTCTCGTTAAGTAACATATAGAAACAAACACAGGGAGGCAGCCAAAATGAGGAGACAAAGAAATAGGTCCCAAATGAAAGAACAGAACAAAACCCCAGGAAAAGAACTAAGCGAAATGGAGATAAGCAACCTAACAGATGCTGAATTCAAAACACTGCTTAGAAGGATGCTCAATGAACTTGGTGAGAACCTCAGTGAACTTAGTGAGGGCCTCAAGAGCATAAAAAAAGGCCAGTCAGAAATGAAGGAGGCACTAACTGAAATAAAGAATACTTTACACAGATTCAATACTAGAGTAGGTAAAGCCAAGAAGCAAACCATCAATTTGGAATATAAGGAAGCAAAAAACGTCTAATCAGAACAGCAAAAAGAAAAAAAAATCCAAAAAAGGGATAGTGTAAGGAGCCTCTGGGACAACTTCAAGAATGCCATCATTCGCATCTTGGGGATGCCAGAAAGAGAAGAGAGAGAACAAGAAATCGAAAACCTTTTTGAAACAATAACGGCAGAAAACTTCCCTAACTTGGTGAAGGAAACAGACATACAAGTCCAGGAAGCACAGAGAGTCCCAAAAGAGATGAACCCCAAGAGACCCATACCAAGACACATCATTATCAAAATGCAAAAGGTTCAAGACTAAGAGAGAATTTTAAAAGCAGCAAGAGAAAAGCAGTTAGTTACCTACAAGGGGTTCCCATTAGAATGTCAGCTGATTTCTCAAAAGAAGGGTCTTCTTGAAGAAGAAGAAGATAAAATATATGAACAAACAAAATGACAATGAATAGATAGCTATCAACAATTGAAACTACAAACAAAATGAACAAGCTGAAAAGAAACATTCTCACAGATACAGAGAACATTTTGTTGGTTGCCAGATGGGAGGAAGGATGGGGGAATGGGTGAAAAAGGTGAAGGGACTAAGAAGTACAAATCGGTTGCTAGACTGACAAACTCAAAGGGATGGGGGTTTGGGAGGTGGGAAGAAATAAACCAAAGAACTTATATGCATATATGCATAACCAATGGACACAGACAACAGTGTGGGAAAAGGGAAGAGTGGGGCGGGAGTGGGGAGGATGGGAGGTCAATGGGGGAAAAATGAGGAACATCTGTAATACATTCAACAATAAAGATATAATTAAAAAATAAATAAATGGGGGAGAATCCATGGAATCTGGCACATGGTAAATGAGACAATTAATTTTAAAACTTTATAAAGTGCCTGGCATGGAGTAGTACTCAGTACGTGGCAGCCGTTGTTATTATTGCTATCACTTTAACTTAAATAGCATATCTTTTCTTGCCTCTAGAGCTAAAATATAAAAGAAACAGAAAAAACTCTTTTCTCAGGGCATAAAAAATGACGGTGGAGTGAATGGAAGCTACACAAACCATCTCCCAGGACCAAACCGGAATTACAAATAAAACAAAGACAAGTCGTTGGAAAAAACCAATGGAAGAGCACCTGGAGATAACCCTTATAACCACGGAGGGAAAGAGGACACCAAATCGAGCCTGGTAGAAGCTGTGGAGGCACAATAGGGCTGGCTGGGTGCCCACAAGCACCAGCCGAGGGCTGTCATAGCTGTGAGCAGTTCCCTATGTGAAGCCTGGGGTTAAAATCCTAAGTCAGTTCCACAGCACAGAGTGGAAGCCCCCCAGCACAAAGTGGAGGAACTAGGAAAGGCTTCCCCATAACACTTGGTTGAGAAAATCACCACAGCAGAGGAGCTGGGAACACTGGGCACTTCCCTGAAGGGCCACAGCACTAAACAGCTACAGCCACTCCTCTTGGGCTCAGGCAGAGGGACAGCCCACTGGACAGGAACTGGGTGAAGAGAGTCAGGGTTTCATGGCACTGGGGAGGGAGCTGGGAAGGAGGTCAGCAGGAGTTTTATGCTGAATTGCTCCTTCATAGGATAGTAGCCATCTTACTCAAAGAGACCTTTCCCAGACCCCTGGGGAGAAGCAAGGTGCCCTCTCTCAGGAATGTAACACCACCAGGCCAGGCCAGAGAAATGCAAATTGAGGCTCATTAATAGCTAGAGTCTACCAGGAAACAAGGAGAGGAACATGATTTCTCTTATTGGTGGATCATAATGAACAAAATAAGCTGTGGACCCAAAGAGATTCAGAATCATGGAAGTAGGGAACAGACTGACAAACCTCAGGGGACGGCGGTGGGAAGGGAGAAAAGAGATAAACCAAAGAACTTATATACATATATGCACAACGAATAGACAGGGACACTAGGCTGGGGAAAGCAGGAGGGGAGTGGGAGTGGGGGGGAGGAAGTCACTGGGGGGAAAAAGGGAGACATCTGTAATACTTTCAACAGTTAAAAAAAAAATCTTTTTCTATGAGTCATTATACAGGAAACAAATAAATGATGCAGTGAAACATTTTCCAAACTTGACTACATGTTAGAACTATTTAAAAAATATATTTGAAAGTATTTAATCCTGCTCCTGGTATTTTGTTATTTAGAAGGTCATAAAGAAATCTAGGGTCCAGAATTATATATGTTTAAAAGGCCCTCCAGCCCTGGCCAGTTTGGCTCAGTGGTTAGAGCATCGGCCTGCAGACCAGAGAGTCCCAAATTCAGTTCCCACTAAGGGCACGTACCTCGGTTGCAGTTTGTCCTGGTCCTGATTGGGGTCATGTAGGTGGCAGCCACTCAATGTGTCTCTCTCACATTGCTGTTTCTCTCTCTTCCCCCATCTCTCCCTCCTGTTCAATCTGAAGATAAATGCAAAAATGTCCTTGGGTGAGGATAAAAAAAATAAATAAATGAATAAATAAATAAATAAATAAATAAATAAATAAATAAATAAAATGCCCTCCAGACTATTTTTATTATTGTTGTTCAGCTTAATTGAGATATAATTTGCATACAATAAAATTTACTAACATTAAGTTCACACTTGATAAGTTTTAAAAAATGTATACATTTATGTAAATAGTACCATAATAATATACACAATTTGAATATCCCCCAAAGTTTACTTGTGTCTCTTACAATACATTTTTTCACTTACTCCCAGCTCCTAGTCATCATTAATTCAATTTCCTTTACAGCATGTCAATGAAAAGGAATTATTTAGTATGTAGCATTTTTTTTAGACTATTTTTTGTGAGGAAAATGCCTTTGAGACTTGTTCATTATTTTTAATTGCTGAATAGTATTTCATTGCAAGGGTCTACCAGTGTTTGCTTATCTAGTCACCTGTTGAAATACATTTGGGTTCTTTCTAATGTTTGATGATTATGACTATAACTGCTGTGAACATTCATGTACAAATATTTGAACACTTGCTTTTATTCCTTGTAGATAAATGTGTAGAAGTGCACTTGCATGGCCACATAGTAAGTGTATGTTGAGA